GTTTCAGGAAGGAGATGAAAGCAGTGAAGATGAACACATGAAGAAAGAATAAAAAATGAAAAACTTGATGAAGGAGAAAGTTATGATTCAGAAGAAACAGAATGTGACAATAATATCTTGGGATTAAAGATGATGAAGACAAAAAAAGAGAAGTAGAAAAAGATTAAAAAACCATCACTGAGCTATCTTCCCCTTATAATAAAAAACAGGTATGTGCATCAAAATTTGTAGATCCAGATGAAGTAAAAGTATCAGATAGAATTTTTTCCAGAATTGGTAATAGCAGGTAATAATTCATGTTATCTTTTATTTAAATACAATAGTATATAAAATACAAATACAAATTAATTTTCTATTAACTGCTTTTTTGTTTTATTTGATTACAAATTAAGTGAGAAGGTATTTCAGACTAAGAGAGGGTATGTGCTTGGAAGAGGAATGATTGAAACAATGCAGGCAGGATTATGGGTACATGCACATGTCATTGATGCTTGGACTGATATTTTGAACTATGAAGAAAGCTTAAAAAAATCAATTCTACACTGAATCGGTATTTCTTTGATACATCAATGGTGGTAAGTTAATTAAAAAAATATATATCATGATAATGTTAATATATATATACAATTTTCAATAGTTCTGAATAAGTAATAAAATTCACACAGTGAATCCCATTATAATTCACAGTGTGAATAATTTTAAATTTAAAATTTAACTTATTGTGAATTTAACAATTTACTTTTAAAGATTGATGTATATTAATTTTTTTGCAAGACAGTTCATATTGACAAAAATATCCCTTCATCAATCAAAGATTTGATAAATTTGAGTCAAATATCAAAGATGCAATGAAAAATGACAAAGAACTTCTGACATTTGAAAAAGTTCACTTGGTAATAAACTGTTCTTTTTGTTGAATATATTACATATTTTTAACAAAGTTTAACAATTAAATTATTAAACAGGTGTTTTTTTACCAGTTCATCAAAAAAATCACTTTTACATCATCTGCATAAACTTAAAGGAACCAGCGGTTGATGTCATTGAAAATAGGAATTCAGTTGCAAAGTTTTCTAGAGCTTATCGTGATGCACCTAATGAATTGGTAAGAATATTAAATTTAGATTATAAATATAAGTATTAATAGACTGATAATCTAAATAAAATAATAACTATAGAAAATGACATTTCTTTTTTGCAGAAAATACTTTTTAGTAGGTACTTGATGAGGGTCAATCACAAATCAGCTTTAACTTTGGAGGGTGTTGAACCAAAAAGGGTGAACATGAATTGGCGCACGAGGATAATCATGTTGACTGTGGAGTTTTTTGCATGCGTCATATGGAGACATATATGGGAGATAAAACAGTAAATTGGACATGTGGATTGCCAAAAGAATCAAAACAACAACAAAGTGTGTTAAAGATTTACGCATTAAGTATTTGACAAAGATACTATTGAGTGACGAAACACACACAGTCAAAAATCATTGCACAAACAACTAAGTTTGCAAAAAAGACTAATGAAGAAATAAAAGATTTTGCTCGACAAGGGATGGGAAAAAGGGAGAAAGGATATAGTACTTCAAGGATTGGAAAAAGAAGTGTAAAACTTAAAACTTAGTTTTCTATTCATTATTAGTATAAGTTTAGATGCACTTTAATTTCTTTAAGAACATATACATGCTTGTTATGTTACAATTTGATGTTAGTTTCTATATCAAATATAATGAACTTTACTAAATACTTAAAAGAGTTTATATTTTCATGTGAATGTCTACATGTATGTTATACAATTACATGTTTTATTAAAAATATGATATTGGTGTGTGGGTGGGGGGAAGTGATTATATTTTCTACTCTGAATAAAGAATTGAAAGTACATTGTCATTTCATACATTTACTTCATTTCTTTTGGTCTAAATGATTAAATGTTAATGTAATAACAATACAAATATGTAGAAAATTTACATTGTTTATATGTTAACCTTGTGAAAATTTTATGTAAGATTAACTATGTGAATTACAGTACATATATAACATGTATATTTTATATGTGAGGTTCACAATGTGAATTATGGTACATATAGATCATTAAAACAATTAATAGTTGAGATTCACAATGTGAATTAAATTACATTAAGACAATCTTTAACATGAAAATTTTTATATATGAGATTATCAATGATAATTAATATACATAAATTAAATCATTAAATGAAATTTTTATTAGAAAATATTCAAAAAACTAACAATAAAAAAATATCTTTAACCAAAAACAATAAATTGAAAAAATATATTCTATTATTAGAAATAAACTCTAAAACAATGAATATCAAAATTAACATCAATATTTCAACATTTCTATCCATTGAATGATCATTACAAAAATCAAATCTTATTTTAGTCGTCTTAAAAAGAAAAAATTAGAAACAATCAGCCTTCTGTAACCTCAGATTCTAAATCAGACTTCTTAAACCTCAAAATGCAACTCCTAGCATTGTGATTTGGTTTATGACATAAACTGCACAACCTAGTACCCTTTTTAGATTTCTCAATCACTTTCTCTCTAGTGCTCTTGATTCTTTTACCACTGGCCCATCCCTTGTTTATGATCCCTACTGGGTTTTGAATGTTGATAACATCAGGTACTGCAGCTCCAATAATTTTTTCAATGTGAACTGATCTACTCGAAGATGCCCTTGATGAGGTACATAAAGGAATACCACTATCAACCTCCTGAAGTTGCTTTATATATTTAGCCAACTCATCCTCATTATTTGCTATCTTGTTAATGGACAAACGAAGAATAGCATATGCATCTTGAATCAAACATTCATTTTTACTGCCTTTATGAGGATATGAGTACTTTTTTCTCAACAATCCATCAGCTATGATATCTTTTCCCCATCTCCTCAAAATGAAATTTGATGGAATTTCATCATACTCTTTCATATTTAATATGAAAAACATATGACGACATAACAATCCTTCCTGGACAAAAGCATGCAGCTACAACTGATGCTAATGCTACACCCTTCTACTAAATACAACCTACAAAATTATCATTAATAAACAAATTAATATGTGAATAAGAAATTCTATCTCATACCATTCGATAAAAATTATACAAATTAACATCAATTCACATTATTAATCAACAGGACATTAGAAATCATAATACTATAATATAAATATGTACTTCAATCAAATTCACAAAAAAAAACATATTCTACTAATCTAATGAAAAGTACAAACCAATTTATAACTCTATAAAAATTCACACTATGAATTAGCAAAACATCCTACATTCACAGTGTGAATTTTTAAACTACATTTTATATTTAATAAACTGTATTAGGACAAAGAGACATACCTTGTAACGAGTATTAGGACAATGAGAAGGAAGACTATTTCGATAAAAGTCATCAGATTCTTCATCCTCATTCACATTTTTATCAATCAACTTTTTTTTCTTCTTATCTCTCAAAACATAAACTTCACTTTCATCTTCAATAACTACAGATTCTTGAACACAATAAAACACGATTTATATAACTCTTTCTGAATGTCCAAGAAAATATTATGTGTATAAATTTCCGATGCATGCTTTTCAATAGCCAAAGGAGTCCTTAGCTTGGGGGTAGTAGTTGTGGACTGATAATCTAATAAAGATTGATGATGCCTTTGCTTCTCCATTGCACTATCAAACGACATCATGAACTTCACCAAATTTGATTTATGATGCAAAAAATGTGAGAAAGCATTATCAGACTCTCTGATCTTGAAGTAGTTCGCATCAAACCAGAAAGTTCAAGATCTCTCATAAAAGCTGGAATCCATAAATCCCTTATTTTAAAAACAGACCTTAACCAGTCATTTTCTTTTAGATGAAACTTATCTAACATTGTTGACCACGAACTTTCAAAATCTTGTGGAGAACATTGAAGATTCCATATAATATCAAAAAATGTCTTCTGGAAGTCCGGATGGTTATAAACATCGATAGGAATCTAAAAAGAAACACATAAGAATCATTACATATGTTGAATATTTGATGTAATTCATATTAACATAACATTTGGTTCACATTATGAATTCACAGTGTGATTTATGATTTAGATTTGTTCCTTTTCATTATATGAAAATTTACATTGTGAATTCACTATATGCTTTATGATCTATATGGTTATAAACATATATAGGAATCAAGAAACAAAAAATATACCTTTTCCTCAAGTTTTTGAGTGATGTGCCACATGCATAGTCTATGCTTCGATTCAGGAAAAACAAAATTAACAGCTTTCTTCATTGATGAATCCTGATCTGTTACAATCATCATGGGAGGCTTGACAAATGCTTTACGAAACACTTCAAGCAACCACACATATGCATCTGCTGTCTCACGAGCTAGTAAACCAGCAGCAAAAGTAACACAACGCTTGTGGTAGTCAACTCCAGTAAAAAGAACAAATACTATAGAATACCTGAATTTTTTTTATAGGTATTATTAAAAAGAACAAATACCATAAAAAGAACAAATAAGGATTAGGAATTACTTGTTTGTTTGATAAGTAGCATCAAAAGATAGTACATCTCCAAATTCCTTATAGTTGGCTTTCGAAGTATCATCAGCCCAAAAAAGTCCAGTAAGATGATCATCAACATCTTTTTTGAACCTCAAATGAAAAATTAGAGAAACACAATTTTCTGTTTGTCAATATATCCACAACCATTTGGGAATCTTTGACACCAATTTTACAATTCAAATCTCTATGAAAATTTTTAAAGTCAACTGCAGTCCCTCCCCTAGAATCAAAGCCACCCTTCATACTACTCACCAAGTTATAAGCTTTTGAAGCACCAATGTTACAAGTACCAACCTTATGTATAAAGGATTCATCAAGAAAATCCATTGTCCTATTAATCCTTAATAAGTGCAACTGATCTTGAGCAACAAGTTCATGGTTGTGATCTTCAACAACACATAAATGTAGAACA